CCCCCCCCCCCCCCCCTCCCTACCCCAGGCCTCCGTTGCTATCCCACCCGCTACTCGGGAAACAGAAGGAAATCGCACTCAACACACTTGTGTGTTGGTGCCTTTCCTTCTGTTTCTCCTAGCTATTGCTAGCTACCCGGGCGGTTTAAGACGAATGTCCCGCTCGCCTTCTACTTTCGTTTAACTAAGTGGGCCTCGTAACTACCCTACTTTTCTTTCTTGCCCTCTTAGTCTGCTCTTGCTTCGTTGCTTTTTCTGTCTTTCTAAGGCTTTTTAGGTGTCTACTAGTTCATCGTTGGGCCAACAATTTGGCGCTTTTTGTACAAATGTTCCCCTGGGAGTTTGGACGCTACTGGAGGCCCCTGGCCTTACTACTACTTTGACCGCGCCGAAAACGGCTCTGTGTGTGTGTCCACCCCTGGAAAAAGGTTTTCGTCCACTGGTTCAACGGTAGGGGGTGTCTTGAAAAAGCGCCGAAGCCGGCAACTTGTGTGTGTCCACCCCTGGACAAAGGGTTTCCTTCGACCACTCCAATCAGGCAGGGGCGTGTGGCACTCTCGCCCTACCACACGCAACGAAGCTGTGGGCGAGAGTGGGAAGCAGGGCCCGATCAGCCCTGCGTACCTGCTACAACTTTTGAACACGCTGTCCAATCCTTTGGTTTGATTCATGGTGGTTCCACACGATACTTTCCCCACAAACAGGTTTCCCACCGCACTGCAGCTGCTGAACGCCGCTTCCATTTGCGCTTGTCGTGAAACTTGTGTTAAACAATACTTTTCAGCGGACTTTGCCACCTTGCCGTTCCCTCGCCTTCCTTCCCATCGGAGTAATTGAGTTAACTGAAAACCAGTGTCAGAGTGTGGGTCCCGGGGTTGGCACAGCGCACGGTGCCCGCACGGTCATCTGCCCCTCGATCGCATCCAAGCTGCCATTGTAGTAGGACTGGTAAACGAGGGGGATGGCCAAATAGGCACCCAGGCGTGTCATGTGGAAGTAGTGCATGCTCGCCACATCCGTGACCTGGGCGAGGTGGCTCCGGTCCGGGGCGCGAAGGCCAACCGAAAAGGGATTCCTAAACGGTCCACGTGCCTCTGCTACACCCCGAAGCCGATCGAACAATTCAGTCCACTCAAAGAACATGTCTGGCACATGGTTTCTCGTTTAAGCCTTCTGGCTCGACGGTTGAGCATGCAGTGCTCCAAGGAGTTGACCAACAGGACCCTGGAACCATGGATAAATACCACTAAAGCCTTTAAAGCAGCCAATTTCAGAGTGTCACCTGGCCCAAACACTCCTCCCCTCAGAGCCCCCCACACACTCCACGCTCACCGGGTAGTAAGGGCTGCTGGGCTTCTCAGGCTCCGCACCTGCGACGGGGCGAACGGTGACGATCACCCGGGGGCGCACTCCACCTTGATCTGGTTAGGCTACTCCTCGAATTCAGCGCTCCACGAATTCAGCGGGCCCTTTTGTGTGCAGCCGCGCACGAGGTCACTGCAATCACACCACGATGTGATGCAGCAAAGCTCCAAAATTGGCTCCGTTGCCGGGGGGGGGCAGCGGCTCCGACGGCTCCGACATGGCTCCCCTCGTGATCCTGCTGATCAAGCATGATCAACCCCAGGAACACCAAGGGCAGGGTTGGAAGGCTTTGGTGGGTGAAAAGCTGTACCAATCAGGACAAAGAAACCGAGCAGCCCAGCAGGGCGATTCTGCTGAAGTTCACTGGACGAACGGCTCAACAGCTAAAAAAAAAACTGATCCGTTTTAAACGACTTTCGGATGCTGTCTCACTTGACTTTCCCTGAAGCCTTCCACCCCGAACTCCCCAAGCCCGTCACCAGTGCTGCGGATTTCCGCAGGCCAAGTCCTAGGCCCGAAGCTTCTGCATGTAGCGTGGAAGCACCGAGCCTCATGGAAGCACGGAGCCCCTTGGGCCCCTGCGCATGTTCTTCACAATTTCTCCGCCCAAGCATTTAGAGCTACTGCAGCACTAGTATTGTAAATGGACATCCAAGTCTTCCAACCCTTACACCGTCATCCCCCTTCAGGCACCAAACTTCTCACCCCTTGACCAAAGCCTGAACATCCGTCCCCAGTATGTCAGTCCGGTCTCCAACGGGCCTGTTCCACCGACGCCGTCCGGAGCCGGTCCCACCCCGTGTCACCCCTCCGGAGCCAGGGCGCCGCGGAACATCTCCGCGCGGAAGCGGTTGGCCACAGCCTCTCGTAGCTCGTCGTCCTCGATGGCCTTGCAGCAGTTGGCTTTCCTGGGCGTGGGGACGGGGCGCCCCCGGGGGCATCCCCGGGGGCAACGCGGCAAGGAGAAGCCTTACTGTGCATTGACTTGGTCTAGGTATCTACTAATTACAATGATTGCAGGTGCTCAAAGTTCTGGAAGGCTTGAGAGTGCAAAAGCAATCAGGAAGTACAGTTCCTTTGAGGTTGTTGGTGTTGGAAGGCCAACATGGCTCGCTCAACATCGTAGCTCTTGAACCTCCCGTTTCAGTGCAAGCCCAGTGCAGAATCCACCAGTCCAGGTCATACGGCCTTTTGAACATCTCTGTCAACCAAGTCAGACTTCCTTCCTTTGAGTTAGAGTGCTATGCTCTCCCCACACGAAGTCTGCCTTCTGCCTTCTGGCAGCCTGGCACCCATCGCCCACCGCCCGCAGGTCACCGAGAGTCTCTTCATCGGACACCGGGAGCCCCGCGTAGGTCGCCAGCAACGTCTTGGTCACGGGCTCCGTGGCCAGGTCCGCGGCCAGGCCCCCCGAGAAGGACGTCCTGCCCGGTGGAACGTGCGCGGTGGAACGTCCAGCCCAACCAACAGAGGTGAAGTGACCTGAACTAGGACCCGTAACCTGGGGTACCTATATAATAGTCTATAGGCTATAGGGTCCTTCAACCTCTTGTTGGAAAGAGGAAATGGATTTATCCTTTCACTTCGAAGAGACGATGCTAGGTACAGTAGTCAGGTCGTGACCCACCTTTACCATTCTTCATTTCCAACCTTGAGCTTTGACTCTTCAAAACACCAATAATTACCCTCCCTCGCATCAAACATGAAAGTGGATGGCACCTTGTGCTTGGTATTCGGATTGAACTTGGTCTTTGGAGGTGCCACGATCCCTTCCATTGCTTGGAGAGAGGGAGAAGGAACCAGCCCCTCTTTGGCTCCTGACCACCCGTCACCCCGCCCTCTTTGGGCCCAAGGCGCTGTTCGGGGTCCGCGCGGTGCACCAGCAGCGCGGCGACGACCTCCACCGACCCGCACGCCGCGGCCTCGAAGAGCGGCGTCTCGCCCAGCTCGTCGCCTGGGGCGCCCACTGGGGGCGGCTCCGGAGTCGCGGAAACGCCCGAGGGAGACCGGGAAAACGCGGCGCAACTGAGAGCCAGCTGATGAAGAAAAAAGGGTGTAGCACTCAGCACTCGAGTCACTCAAGTGTGGTCTTCCTGGTGTTTTAAGGGTAGCGTTCATCCATCAACTGTTGTGGCATCATGATCATCATTGTCCGTGTTCCAACATTCTGATTCTGATTTCATAGCCTCTAGAGGCTCTAGCCTACCACAACTGTTCTGCCCACGGCGCCTCTGTTGGGATTTTGCCCTTGCTCCAGCAGCCTCAGCACCTCACCCACATTGCCCGTGCGCGCAGCGCATGCGAGAGGATCTTGATTCAGGTCCTGATATGGTCTTCCAGTTGCGGTGGTGTGGCTTGGAAAGCAATGATTTGATTTGTCCTAATTAGGCGCCATATGTCTCAAGCAATTTGGATGCAGCGTGAAGGGTTGGCAGAATCAGCTCTGAAATGCTAGTGGAAGCTCGTCTTGCTGAATCTCACGGGAACCCGCTCTGACGGGGAGGGGGACTGAATTGTCAAAAACTTGGAGACATTGACTCTTTGAATGTTGTTGGGTCATCGCCACAAGGCTCTCACGCAGCTCTAAACTTCAGGAGTGATCGGAGTGCAGTCGGCCCAGGTCATTCTGTGCACAAATGTTCCCCCCAACGAACTAACCTTGTCGTCTAGATGTTGCTCCCTTCTGAATTTGGATGCATTCTTGCTTTGGTAGATGCACCTAAAGTTACCTAAAGTGGCCTCAACATGGCGACAAACTGAATCCAACCCCCCTTTCATCCCCATTCCCAATGACCGTGAAATCGTTGATATGTATACATACAATTGTGTATAGTCATATATATATATATGACATTATATGACTAACTATATATCTTCAACAATGATACTTACTTGTGAATTGGCAAAGTTTTTGAAAACACCCCCACACACCTTCCCGCCCATCCATGTTTCACGGCTCCTGTGCTGCCAATGCATCCCGCGCCGCCTTGACCTCCGGCGGCAGCGGCGGCAGCGGCCGGCGCCGCTGCACGCCGCCCGCGTCGCCCTCCGCCACGTCGGCAGCCGGTGGCCGCAGGCCGCGGCGGTTGGCCGCGCGCTCGGCGATCTCGGTGCGCACCGCCTCGCGGGGCCCTGGGCCCAGGCAGTCGAGGAGCAGGTCACCGTCAGGCTGCTCCAACTCCTTGGGGAGGGCCGAAACATGTCGAAACACATGCAACTGACAATGACTTAAGAGTCTCTGAGAAAGAATATGGGTGGGTTGAGGAGGCTCTTCAAGACCAGTCTTCAAAGACAATGCAACGTTAAAAGCCAGGCTTCTTCGCATCGCAGATTTCTGTTGACTGTTGCTTCTTAAAACCCTTCTTTGACATTTCTATGACCACATAACATATGACATATATGTGTATATATTTTTTGATATGTTTAAAACTGTCTCAACGGTTGCTCAACGTATCGACGAGGTTGTTGGAATCAGGACTCTTCCTCTTTGGAAGATCCTGTCGGCTCGTCCTCGGGCCTGGCCTCCTAGAGCCTGTCATCGCCGAGGCGCCTGGCCCGCAAAGAAGTTCAACAAGCTCCGCGTGGCCGGATCGGAGGCCAGGTCCCAGGGCGTGCGCCCGTGGATGGACCGCGTCAGCGGCTCCGCGTTGCACATGAGCAGCGTCGCCACCACGTCGGGATGCCCGTGCGAGGCCGCCTTGAAGAGGGGCGTTTCACCGTGTGGGTCGTACTCGTTGGGCTCCGCCCGAGCATTCAGGAGCTGGGTCACTGCTGTGAGATCTCCATCTTGCACGGCTCGCCATAAGGGAGACTTCTCCATCTGACTCATGGCATCCAGAGACCTCACCATCACCTCCTTGGGTTTCACGACTTCCTTGGGCCTCACCACTACTGCCTCCTTGGGCCTCACCAGCGGTGTAACTTCCTTGGGTGCTACTTCCTTCGCCACTTCTCTCGGCCTTTTTGGCAGCTCCTCCTTCGCCAGACCCTTGCCTGGAGCCTGAGCCCCGTTCACTCGCGGCGCTCCATTCACTGCCTGTCTCCCTTCCACCGCTGCCCGCATCGGCGCCCGCACTGCCGCCGCCGCCGCCGGCGCCGCGGCGACCGCAGCTGGCACAGCCTGCGCAGCGGGCGCAGCTGGCGCCGCTGGCGCAGCCGGCGCAGCTCGCGTAGCCGGTGGAGGCCGTGAGTGGACCAAATCCATCAGCGTCTGAGCGACTTGAGGCCGCAGGAGTGGATCCAAAGAGTTCACCACTTGCGGCAATTCGCCTGTGCGAGATTTCGCGGAGCGGATCGTTTTGGTGGAGGTCTTCTTTGCGATTAGATGTATTGGCATGCCACCACTCGGCTACTAGTCCACTAAGAAGCCATATTCCACACTTCCCAAACACCGACCCAAAAACAAATCATCGACGGAGGATTCCCTTTGGGGAGAGGGACAGAGAGCTCCCTCCATCCGAATCCTTTCGGCACCCTCTCCTGCATGGGGCGCTCGTCCCCTCCACAGCTCCAACAGCAGCCGCACCGCCGGGCTCTCAGCGCTCGCCGGCTCCGCGTCCCAGGGCGACGCGCCGTGCAGCAGCAGCGCGGCGCAGGCGTCCACGCTGCCCGCCGCGGCGGCAGCCTGGATGGGCAAGGCGGCGGAATCACCTGGGAGGGTGCGAACGGGTGGTGTTGGGAGAGAAGGAGAAGGGGAATGAAGGAAGAAACACTTCAAATCTCCATATGCTATATCAATCATCTTAGGGGAAATTGGAGAACACGTTCATGGAAGCCTTGGTATGTGGACTAGTGTGACTAGTGTGTTTGGTTGGCTAGAAGTGCGTGCGCAGGAGTGTTGAGATGCCAAATTATGTGTGCATGTGTGAATATGGGTACTGTATGCACATATACATACACACTGTTATAAGCTAAAGGCTTTATATTATACATGTATATATATAATATATAATCAGATATCTGCGTGATTCTGCATGGATATTGTGAGGCTACAAGTACGGTGACGGCTTGTGGGCGAAAGCTTTGGTAATCCCCAAACGTACGCAAATGACAAGGTTGTAATTCCTTGGGGCCCTGCGTGCAGCTTTGCGGCCAGCAAAAAAGACTGCCCACCCCAACCACTTCCGACCTCACCAGCGGCTGAGGCCATGCATCGGCCACCAAGTGACTGACGTTGGGGTCCACCCCCGTCTGCAAGAGGCGCATCACGGAGATCAGGCTCCCCACCTTGGCCGCCTTCAGCAGCTGTTCCGCCGGCGTGGCCGCCTTCCTTGGAACGGACGGCCACCCAAAACCGTGCGCCTCGCCGGGGTGCCACAGACCCCTCCCTCAAAGGTGCCACAAACCACTTAGAACAAAGTGGATGGTTTCAGGAGATTGCTCCGTTTTGGTGGAATATGATAGAAGTTGCTTCGGGGAAAGGATGTGCTGTGCAATGCTCCACAGCATCGGGCAAGACGTCCCAAAAGATGTTTCTAGTTGTGCACACCGACGACAGCGGTCCATCACAGGCTGAGATGCTTCGCGGCAGCTTTCTTGGCCGCTCCCGCATACCCTGTGGACTGCGTCTGGCCTCTCCAGAGAGCCAATGAAGCAACACCCAAAAGAACTGTTTCCTCTCCAAACCCACCACAAAACCTCCCTTTGTCGATTGTGTGAGCGCATCTGTGCCGTGCCCTATCGTCGCCCTCCCCACGCCAAAAAAAATTGTTACGGGTAAGGGTACTCTTTCTCGCAAGGTGGGAACGAAGAGCCGGAAAGCACTTGCTTGGACTGCAAGTCGCTCATCTAACTGTACAAATCAGCTTTCCGATGTACACAGAATTGGGGGCACCAGTTCAGCTCTGAACCATTCAAAGGCCACAAGTCAGAGCTGCCGAGACGGGTATGGCTTCCAAAACCTTCCTCCTGCGAAAACTTGCGAGACTGGCAGCGGACCCCAGCGATGCCTCGCGGGCCCTCGCGCTCGCTCCTCCGCCGCGCGGCACGCTCGGCCGGAGTCTCGGGCCGAGCGGCCGCGTCCGCGGCCGCGCGGTCCACCTGGGGCCAGAAGTGGGAGGGTCTGCAAATGGAGATGTTGAAAAGGATGGAAGTGGATCCTGAGCCCGCGCCCCATCTACCAGGCTGCCATGGGAACCCCCAAACAACTCTCCAAAAAGAGGACACCAACAAGCCGCTCTCCCACCCGTTTTCCGCCGCCTCCGCTTCCAGTGCCAGCGCCGCCGGATTTGGAGGTCCCAGCTCTTCCGGCACCTCGTCCCAATCGAACATGGCGCTTCGCCCGCCACGGCGAGGCGCAGAAGGTCGGGCGCTGGTGGCGCGGCTCGCTTCTGTGGAGCAGCTCGAGATCAAGGCCGGGGGTCAAGGCCAAGGTCAAGCAGGCTGCAGTGGATGCTGGGTGATGGGTTGAGTGATGAGACACCTGAAATGTGAATCCTTTTCGGTAGATGCTCCACCTTCAGAGCAAGCATAGCTGCGAAGAAATGACGGTGTTTCACCGCGAAACCGGCCATCTGAACTTGGACCATCGTCAGCACTTGATTGATCGATCTGTTTCCCTCCACCCAGTTAGGCTGATGAAGTCTGGGAGGCCCCGGCCCTTCCAGCTTTCTTTCTGCCAGGGTGGTGCCACTTTCTTTCAGCTTTCTTTCTTCCAGCTTTCTGCCACAACAAAGCCCCTGATCTTGGTTCAAGCTTTCCGGTGAATCAGGCGCCTGGACTTCCGAGAGGCCGACCAAACCGAATCCCGTGGCCCAAAACCAGGTTTGGGCACCATCTTCGGTCTCCACCACGGGCTCGACGCTGGGTGGCTTCCATAAGCACATCTCCTCAACAAGAGGATTCTGCTTATTGGAAAAGGGTCCCCAAACCCCATCCAACCCCAACATCCCACCCCAACATTCCAGTGAAGCAAGGAATGACACATAAACCCAAGCGAAAGATTCACGAGTGCAGCGGAGGACTCCCGTTCGTCCTGCCCATTGGCGCCGGAAGAATGGAAAGTCTCCCATGCCTAGGAGCCATTCTTGACCTCAACCCTAACCCAAAATGTGGTTTGTTTTTGGTGCCCTGTACGGTCCCATTCTGCTGTTCTTTCCCTGACTTGACCTGTTAAAATGCCTCCATCGTGAACGATCATGGAACAACCCCTCTAGCCTATCCCATCACATCCCATCCCGATCTTCACATGGCACTCAGTTTGGAACAAAACGCCTGCTTCCCAAAAACATCCGTCCGGCCGTCCTTGAAGCTCTCCTCCGCCGGGTTTTCCGTCAGCGCGCCCCAGGTCACACCTGGAGAAGCCACCCAAAGGGGGGCGAAACCACCAACTGGTCGGGTCTAGAGGTGGCCCCTCGAACGAGTGATCCGAATGACTTGTCAGGCTGTTCCGTGGGCGATGTTCCGGTGGGAACGGAAAAAGACACCCCACATCTTCATACTGCTGACTCAACGCCTTCACCAAATTAGCACGTCCTCCAGCGCGAAAGAACCAACCAGGCTGCCTGGAGTTGACCAAGGGTTGTGAGTCACTTGGAGGCCCGCAAGCGACAGCACCCGCCACCGCAGCGGCCTCGCCTTTGCCCTCGGGCAGGACCTTCTCGGTCATCCATTCAGAGCCCTTGGAGGCATACTCGTAACCTCACGTGGATGGCGAGGTGAACGTCATGTGAAAAGGACATATACACTAGGACTGGGCCATTTGGGGGGGCAGGTTTGAGTGACGATGCACGATGAAACCACTCCAATACTAGCTATAGCCTGAAAGAGTATGAGAAGGTGACCTGCAAATACGCAGGTCACCAATTCTTCCCAAAGCAACTCCTTCTTGAAACAAATCCTTCCACCGAGCACCGTAGATGGAAGCTGTACAATTCTGAAAGAACAAAACAGCCCAGCAGCTGATGTGGGGGCCCGTGATCTCGCTACCCTGGCCAGGTGGACGAGTGAGCGGATTCATCACGGGCAAGACCACAAATTCACCAGATTCACCGGTAGATATGGCTGTGGGTCAAAATCAGACTGGAGGACCTACCGACGTCGTCACGTCGTTCGCTACATGGTGGACTGTCTTGACCGGTCCCCATCTTTTCGTCCCATATGCAGTGGCTTCTACTGCTGCCCATCCTCATGAAATGTCGTTTCTGCAACCGGTTGGTTGGAGGCATCAAGAATATGTGCCATAATGAGTGCAGCACAAACTCGTTGCCCAACTTGAAGCTGCTTCTTGAGCGGGGAAAAAGGCGACCATTGATAGATTCTGCAGATTCGAACTGGAAGTTCTTTGCGAATCTCCCGCATGACATCAACCAGATTGTCTATATACGCCAAACCTTCCTGATCTCACCCCATACCATGTTGCAAGGTCAGCACCTAGCTCATCAGCCTCCCATACAAGTAGTACCTAAAAGAAACCCTAAAAGAAACAAGAACTTCTGAACCCGCACCCTAAGGCCCTAAACCCAACCCTCCACCATGCCCTAAACCCAACCCTCCACCCCATCGTCGTGTGCGAGGACGCATCCGATTCACACGGCCGGGGTGAGGCCTCCTCGCCCTGCTCCAGAACGCCCAAGTACACCGCGGAAGCACCCGCTGTGGACTGCGCCACAGTCACCAGCTCTTGCCAGAACTTGTCCTGGTACCAGGTCAGACCCCATGGACCTGGAAGAGCGGTGAATTCCTCCACAAGCCCACTGGTGCTCCATGTGAGCCAGCCAAATGGAACTCCCTGCCGACCCGACCCAGCGACCCACAGGAAGGGATGCAACACTCCAAAGCGTCACCGCTCTGAAAACCGTTCCAACCCTCGGATGGGAAACCACCGGATCTCCTCAAAAACGGTCTCTTCGCTGTTGAACTTCTCGAAGAGGCCAGTGTACAGCGCCTCGAGCTTCTGCACCTCGGCCTGCTTCGTCTGCCTGGAAGAGAGGTTCGTGGTGGCAGTGGGCTGACCGTCGTCGCTCCGAAGGATCAGATGGTCTCCGTCGTGGTCGGCCCGGGGACGGGACCCGGGGAGGCTTGGGCCGACCCACCCAACCGGTATTTGTTATACATATATCATTATATCATGGGAAGCTTCGTGAAGCCAAGACACCGAAACTCACGGAGCAGCTCAGGCGGATGGTTTCGAGGGCTCCCAGGGCGGAGGGGGGGCTCAAAGGCTCAAGTTCCATCTCCAGGGAAGATTTGGAAGTCTGCCCTGGCTGCCAGAAACGAAGGGTCCTCAAATGTATCAAGGTGGCTCTGGGTCTCAACCAAGGACAGGTGGACTTTCTCGATCGCAAGAGCTTGTGCTTTTGTTTTCGGAGAGCCCAAATCAACTCTATAAGCCTGCCACACCCCAACTGTCTGCACTTGCACTTTTTGTGCAGAGAGGAGTTGCAGCTCAAGCACTGGAACCACTTTGGCACGCAAACATGGAAGTGAAACAAGCAAACAAAACTTCCAAAGCAATTGGAGTCATCTTCCACTTCAAGCTTGCTTGACGAAGGGCATCCCCGGCTATCTTTCTGTGAATATGACCGTGACTGGGCACACAATAACCAGGAATGTCAAGTCAAACTCTGTGAAGTCTGTGACGTTTCAAACCTGCAAGTTCAGGAACCCAAGGCCAGTGCTTCAGTCAGTCAGTTGTTGCGTTCCTTTGCCCCGCGACCCGTCCGCTTGATTCAACCAATATAGGACTCTGCCAGGACATGAACCACGGGATGGGCCAGATCCATCGAAAACGCAAACTCAAACTCACCTATAAGTGGATGGAGAGTAGATGGCACAATCCCCAAAAGGTTGTTTATATGGGTGGCATCTACTCTGAAGCCGCTCTGGGAACTTCTTCGCTATCCAACCAGCACAAAAGGCCTTTCAGCCTCCTTGGCAGCCAGCTTCTCCCTGCGGCTAACGAGCAGAAAAGGCGGACTTATTATATACGGGCTTAAGACAGACCCGCTGGTTCGAACTCAGCACAAAATCTACTGGACCATCAAAGTCTTCACATGTGAGAATGGCCTTGTCTGAGCTCTCATCTTTGCTAAGTCTTGTTCAACTTGTGCTTTCACTGTCTTGGCCTGCAGCGAAAAAAGCATGGACTGAGTCCCAGAGCGGGCGTGGAGAAACTGACTTGACTCGAAGAAGGCAAAAATTGGGAATGAAGGACCATCGAGGGGTGGTCTGCAGCAGTCGATCCACACGGAGTCCAACACACTCGGGGGAGTTTGGAACGCACAGGGTCACATGGCAGCCCCTCCAACTGAAAGCTGCGGAGGTGTGGGGATGCAAAACACGAAGCCTTTTTGCATCTTGCATGGGTAGAGGTCGAATCGAATTAAGACCTATATACCTGGGCTGAATGTGAAGAATCTCCTGAAGCCTTTTATTTGAAAGCTCTTCCCCTTCCCTTCCACGACTTGAAACCGAGATTTGCCCACTCCTCAGCCCCAAGGCGATTGAGATGCCCAAAAGGCGATCGCAAGCTTTGTTGCTCTGTCTCCCACCAAGCTGGTGGCGGTCGTGACTCGAATGGCGAGGGGGCCACCGAGCCGGTGGCTCAGGCACTGTACATTCAAACCTGTCCTCACAAAACTGTGCGCCCACCAGCCATTGCGCCGCCCAACGTGGCACTGGCACAGATTGACTCGCAGGCGTGCAACCAAAAAAGGGATCAAGGCTGGAGGGTGCTCTCACTTTCCACTGCTCCGTGCTCTTTCAGATCCGCCACTGCTGCGGGCGCCTGCAAATGTCCCAACAACCTGGGCCCTTCGCCGCCCGCTCCGCCGCGCTGCGCCTCCGCCGCGGCCACGACAAGCGCCACGGCGCGCGGCACGCCGCCCTCGGAGGCCAAGCTGCGGCCCAGGCGCTGGGCCGTGGCCGTGAAGCCCGGCTCGGCCAGCACGCGCCGCAGGGCCTCCGTCGGCGGAGTGGGTGACCCGAGCGGTTCCCAGGCTGCACCAGCAGTGGGGAAGAAGGAGATCCCAAGGAAGAGAGCAATCCTTCCAAAAAACTAGACGATGTGGTGTCTAGCAATGACCGACTTTTCGAAAAGATGAAAGCGGCCCTGTCCCTCACCTTGGTCACTTCGGTGGTATACTCCGCCATGGCCCGCAATTCCTCCCCGTGTGGTGGCACAGGGCGGGCAATCTGCAGGCCAACACCTGGCTCAAATATGCTCAATTAACTTGGCAGAAATAGACGTGAAACAAAAACTGAAGGAGGGTCCACAACCCCTCACACACACCAGCACATCTGCCTCTATTATTAGGCCTTGTGCGAACCCAAAATGGCATCTGCTTGATGAAATCATCCATATCAGTTGGAAGGGGGTAGACTGAGTCTTGCAGGGTGTTGGACTACAACTGGCTGGATGACTTGACTGCCTCAAATGTTTAAACTGCTGTCCTTCTGCTCCAGGGGCGAAGCATAGACATGGTCATCCAAACTGCCAGTCCTTCCGCGGCAGCGCGCCTGTCATCTCGGCCCGCATCGCGTTGGCGATCTGGTCCCCGAAGCCGGGGCACACCACCACGGGCGTGCCGGCCATCAGAGACTCCATGAAGCTGTTCTGCCCGCCGTGGGTCAGGAAGAGATCCACGCCGGCCTTCAACACCTGCAGACCGAGCACCACCTCCCGCACGATCCACGGCTCACGGTGTCAGAAGCGGTCTTCTCCCAGCACCCGAAGGGCGCAGCTACAGTCTTCCCATGTTCAGGCGCTGCAGGGCAATTTGGGTCAATTGCGTGGTACTGGTAAGGCAATGTAAGGCACATAGTTCCTCATTTTGCGGTCAAAGGATATCGTCGGTGTCTTTGTTTGACGTGGCCGTAAGGCAATGATTTCGTGAATCCCGGCGCATTCACCAATTCATTGGTACATTCAGAAGCCTCCCAAAACGGAAACGAAAAAGAATGGCAGCCGTGCCTGCCGGAGATTGAAAACATGGTTCTTCTTTTATCTTCATGTGTCGGTGGTTGCAGCCTGTCGGTGTTGGCTCTGTGAACCGGGCCTCCACCTGCGGAAGATAAGGAAAGCACCGCGCGTTCTTCGGCACGTCCACTCCCTCCAAGGCGTCCGGCTGCGATCCAATCGCCACGATGAGGAGGGGAGCGTTCTCCTGTGCCCGGGGCAAAGCACACGATAGAACTCCTGGGTGCATCGAACTCCTAACCTCGCCTATCCCATACGCCTCTCGTAGGGCCTATAGACCTATAGCGCGTCTAGAGGCGGGAGTTCTGGATGCCTTGGCTGGGGGCGCGCTGGGGGATCCACCAGCCGGATCCACCCTAATTACATTGAAAGTCATAAACCACTTCTGCAAGCAGATTGGACCCGACTGACTGGTCGAATCCGTGGGGCAAAGGGCATGTGGCATGTGATTGGTAGTTTGAACACTGAACTAAACGATGCGGGTAACTCCCACACCACCCCATCACCAGGAATCCCGTCGGAATCCCTCCCTCTTCCAAAACAGCCTCTCAGAAGCCCTGCTCGGTGCATCCGTTGATTGCAGGGTCTCCAAATCAAGGAGATTCTGTATGCGTGCTGTGACACGACCATAATACATCTATGTATATACATGTATATAAATATATAGTGTGTGTGTGTCGGCCAATACGGCCTATCGCTTTTGCATGTTTTAGCCACAATGTCAACATAGCTGAACATGCCCAAAAACTGTGGAAATAGAGTTATCGCTTTTGAGGGGGGCCTAACGGTTTTAGCCCAATTCCTGAGATTCGCGACCGCTCTTTACTGAATTAGTCATTGCACGTCTTGGGCGGTCGCTCCCTGAAGCGGATCCAACCCCAACCGGCCATGTGTTTTTGGCCGTGATCTCCTCCTCCCCAGTCTCACCAAAGGCTTCAAAGGCCGCGCTCCATGCAGACTGACACAGCTGCTTCCCTGTGAGGCCCCTCGGCGCCTCCGAGCCGTCCCGCGGCACTTTGCTCCACCCGAGGTCGGCGGTGTTGGAGGTTAAGATGGTACCCATGCTCACCAGAATCACCTGGCAGAGCGCGAGAGCGTCTTGAGAGGTGCTGAGACCTGAAGGTTGGATGGGTGGAGAGACTGCTTGGACCCATCAGGGAACTGGTTGGACCCATCCACATGCATGGCGATGGGTCGAACAAAACCTGGGGAGGTCAACCGAGGTCTCTCCTGGTTTCGACCCACAGCCCACAGCCACATACCATCAGACTCTGCACCGGGCCTTCCTTCCAGCATCCCGAGCCAGCTTGATCTCCTTCACCGCTTCCACTTCTCCGCTCACATCCTCGTTCGAGCCCTTCTCGGGCTGCGTCAGCAGGGGGCCCACGGTGATGAACTTGCTGTCCTCATCTATGAAATCCCAATTCCACTCCCGCCTACCAATCTCTCGTGCGCCAAGTATGCCATCTGCCGCCGCTGGTGGGGTCACCGCATTGGTGCATGACTCTGGCTATGGGTTTCACCTTCAACTCCTTAAGTCCCCCCGAGCCCCTCAGCTTCAACAACCACGTCAGAGAAAGCTTCCCTGGCAATAAGCCCATGTCCGGGCCCATGCGTTCCCCCCTTGCGTTCCATAACAAAACCCTGGTTGTGGACTTCGCAAGTCCGACTCCCTGTTGAACCCCGACCGCAGGTCGGTCCTGATACCTCTTCGCCAGGTTCTCAGGCAGAGGATCCTGCAGGTCGGCGCCGGTGGTGACCAGGTTGAAGTTCGTCTCGGTCATGGTGGACAGGAAGCCTTTGGGCTCTAGGAATCCCCGGTAGTCCAGGTGGAAGCCTCAGAAAACCACACGCTGTGGTCATCGAAAATGCACTGGGCAAAGGGAAGTGAGTTCTACACTATCACTGCCTCACACGGCTGCAAGAAAAAGGAACGTACCACAATCTCATGTCAAGAATTCTGTCACCCCATGGATTTTTATCTGCTGCACATTGAGACTTTCTGCGCAAACCAGCTTGAGCCACGATGCCATAGCTCTCCTTCAAGCGCTGGATGCTCTGGAGCATCGGCTCAAAGCCCTCCACCCGATTTAAGACTTCTGTGGGCTCCAGGCCGGTCTGCATCAGAAACATGTCCACGATCCCTACCATACCTCAGCATGTCAGCTGCCACGCGCTCTTCGCGGTCGCTGGTGCCAGAAAAACCGCGCGGCGTGTTTTGGCGTCGAGACGGACAAAAACGAAGTTCACGCAGCTGAGCATGGTCAGCTTCTCTTGTATCTCCTGGGGTCGCCGACAGGCAGTGACACCCTCCCACTGTTCGCTCGGACTCAGCCAAGCTTCTACCAGGCCCTGCGAAGGTCCAAAGCCCAATGGCTGGGATGTTGAGGTACTTGGCCGCATAGACGGCTTCGGGGTTCATAAAGGGGCAAAAGAGCCTTGGAGGTCGCTTCATGCCAGAAGAAGGCACATGAGGGGAGTCAAACAAAAAATACTCAGCTCCTTGGAGAGACCAGGACGAGGGAGGACGAAGGACAACTTAGAGCCATCTCTGGTCCAATGATATAGATTGATATAGTGCAGTGATGTTTGTGCTACGACCTGTTTGGGTGGGATGCTTCGCCCAAAAGCGCCAGAACGAGAAGCTAGTTGAGGTGACTGTGGGCCCGATAACCCCTGCTTGTGTTGGAGGAGGTTGTTTGTACGTTGGTCCATCATGAAGAAACTTAGGTGCTTGTTCTGCGAGCTGCACTGTAATTTGATCCAGATCTTAAGAAAGTTCACACTTTCAAACACTTTCCCAGTCCCACCATTACCAGCCAATGTCAAAAGCCTCTGGCATCTTCCATCCAAACCTCGATCCCAAGCCTGTGCACACCCCAACATCTTCTCCGCCCAGGTGCACCACATCGGGGCGCACCCTCTGCATCCAGCGGATGGTGCCAGGCAATTGTAGTTCCAAATGGTAAGGCGCGGTCTTCAGCAGGGACACCATCCTGAGGGGCAGGGAGTATGGGCAGCGCGCTCACATCGTTGCCAGGCAAAACAGATGACCTTGCACCAGTGGTGTGCACCCCCTGCTTCACCACCCTGGGTGAGCCTCTCCTCTCACAAACCCTTTCAACCAACACAGATCTGGTCCGAGATGCATGGGTTCCTCCGCCACCTCCAGCTCCTGCGCCAAAGCCCGGAAGCAGCCCATGATGTCCTGCTCGCGCCCGTCATAGAGCTCAGACTGCTCGCTGGCCATGCTGCTGAAGCTGGCACCTGCAGCCGGCAGCATCACACCGGCGATGCTCTTGGGATGACAAAACGAGCAAAGCATCTCGGTGGGGTGGAAGACAGGTGTGACTCACATGTGTGTAAACGCACCTGGTCCAGAATGGAGCCAAGTGCAATCGCTCTTGCCTTTGGATGGCAGCAATTCTTCTTTCCACACTCTTCCTCCACTCTCTTCCCGCCTGTCTTCTCAATCATCGGGCGCATCTCATCCCTCGACAAATAGTGGACCTCATGCTTCAGCTCCCGCAATGCGGCGGCAATGGGCAACGATGGGTTCAAATGGCCGGTGGCCATCGGAAAGACGAAGCCAAAGCGCAACGAGTCCGCCATGCCGCGCAGTACAACGAGTAGGTCGCCTCCGACCGTCTCCGGCTGCTCGCGTGTTCTGAGCCCAAACAAATCCGCCGATGGATCCGACTGGCCGATGCCGACCGGCTGCAGGGCTGCGATCCTCCTTGGTTAGGAGACACCAAAAGCGACCAAACGACGAACCGGCCTCCTCCAGTTCGGCATACTGCGCCAGCCACTTGGAGAGGAAGTCCACCCCGTCCTGTGGAAACTTGAGTCGAGTGAGAGCTGCACATTCTGACTTTAGGGTTCACTGAATTGTTGGCGCAATGCCCATCCTCCTCCCTTCACACTGATGAACCCGCAGTTCCCACGAAGGCCAACAAAGAATTGACGGCGGCTCTTTGTGACCAGCGCGGGCTGAAAGCGGTGAAACTGCAGCTCACCAAGTTAGTGAGCTTCTGATTCTGTGAGAATCTCGGAGGATGAGTTGTTCCTGGAGAGTTCCTGCAACACTCCAATCGGTGCATAGTGGTGTTGATAAAAGCGGCACAAGGCAGCCAAGACATTCCCCCGAGATTCTGCACCACACGGTGGTTTCGGCCGGCAAGCCAACCGACCCCTCCTGATTGACTGGTTCCTGATCTTCCGACGAGTCTCGAAACAGCCTTCCGACCAGTCTCTGAATGGCATTCTAGTCCGTTGACGGTGGTACAGTGCATCAAGGACTGGCCAAGAACCAGCGAAGTTGCATGACTAGCCCTTCTGACCAAGACCCTGTTGAAGTAAGTGAAGAGACACCAGGTAGTTCGCGTATTCGTGCCTCAGCGATCACACAAACGACAGGTCCAGCTGGTTCCAACTTCCAACTGAGCGAAACATCACCAATAACAAAAGGACTCCAAACTCCATTATGTCCAGTGCCCCCTTCGACCTCACACTTTTGTACCTCAATATTTTGTCCACTGCTCTGGCTGTTGAATGCGGCTGAGAGCCTAAGAGTAGAGTTCAGCCCCCCTGAGTTCCACCTACCAAGTCATCTACCCTCCACAACTGGCCACCCCGATCTTACAGTTCTTTCGTGCTTGGGCCGTTTCTGTCCGGTCCTTCACAGCGACACCAGCCCCCGGTCTACCCCGGTCTCCCCCACCCCGCAGAAACCGAGGAGGCGCGGATCGGAGCGCAGGACCTCCTTCCGGCGGATCTCCAAGCGCTTCTTGGCCGCCTGGGCCTCGCAGGAAGGCGGCCCCAAGAAGGAGGAAGGTGAGGAACTCACCGAGGTGGCTCATGATGTGATCTGGGATTCGACTTTCAACGAACCTTGTTTCATTCCTGGGTGCACAAATCACGAGCAGCATGTAGATGTAGATGGTGTTCGAGGTTCGCGGCGGGTGTGGGGTGGCAGCAGAGCTTCAACGCAAGGGGTAGGCTTGGAAACTAAAGATGCAAGTGTTAGGTCGCGCCCTGACAATCCAAAAGCTACTTTGGGCCGTTTCCTGCTCCCAACCACGGGCAGAACAGATGCTAAGCATTGCAGGCAAACCAAGAGTCTGCCCACAGTAGCCACACCTGCATGGTCCTTTGCCGCTCTTGCTTCCGGACTTCAGCTGCTAGGTCATCCTCAGAAAGCACCAAGAGGAATGGGGACGGCGAGGCTTCCAGTCAGGATTCACGTTTTTTCCGGGGGCTCGCACCAAAAAAGGCATGTCCGGACCTTCTCGTGAGTGATATGAGTGTCCGCTTTTGCCTATTTGGGGTTGGCAGGGCCCATGGTACAGGGCTGCAGCATGGGACACCTGAGGAGGCCAGCAGTGACACCTCTCGTGCCCAGTGTCGCTCGCTGGGACGGATTTCTCTTACACAGCATGCCGCCAGCACAAGCTAGCTGGCTAGCTGTACCAAGAGTTGGGGTGGAAAACCGCGGTAAATGAGCTTGCACTCGAGGTCTTGATGAGTTTTGCTTCAGTCCTCGGCCTGCTTGCATCTCAACCTCATAGCCCGTCATGGTCAGCCAAGGCACGTACTCCAAGCAGAGTTTCTCACATCTCTCCCGCGCCACCGTCGCACGCTCCGCCAGCATCCCGTGCTTCACGTCCATCTTCTTGGCACGCTGCTCGGCCGTGGTCATGTGCATACCTTGGCCGGAGCAACCTGATCAACCTGCGCCTGATCAAGAGAACGCACGGATTCCAGATCTCGACCGCAGTTCTGGGGCGGAGGGTGCGGGAGAGAAGGAAAAGACCTGCGCTGTAGTGTTTTACATTGCTGTATGAGCCCTCTGCCCTTTGGGGCTGCAGCCCAGGCTGAAAAATGGATCAACAGCAACCTCCAAGCAAGAACCATCGAAATGCTCCTGCATCACTCTCTCTCTCTCTCTCCCCTTCTCCCTGGTTCCCCTACCTCCAGTCACCCCACCCTGGACCAACGCCCCAAGTCACTGGTTGCCCTCACCAGGTTCACCGAGGAGTAGCGCCGCGCGCGGAGGAAGTTCTCCACCAGCGGGGAGTACTGCAGCTTCCGCCGGGGCCGGCGGTTGTACTGCCCCATCCAGGCCGACCTTGGAGGGCGGCAAGCTTGGGCACCGGCTGACCGCGCAGGCCGAACGGACAGCTGTGTGAAACCACTTAGGCCTGCTTCCCCCCCCCCCCCCCCCCGTGAAAGGAGTGATGTCCATCCAAACTTCGGGGGGGGCATACCACAGTGAGAGTCGAGAGTCATGTCGGTGACTCTTATAATTCCATAAAATATGAAGAGGCCTTTACAATCCCAAAATGGGAACCAAAAGTCATGTCATGGAAGCTTGAGCCGCCCACCCGCTGCCTTCCGCACCCCCGCAGCTCCGCCCACCGAGGCGCTTCTCCGCCAAGGAGTCGGCGCTCAGCTGCCCGAGCAACGGCTGGGAGGCATTCCCCCGCCTCAAACGCCAGGGCGGCGCGGCGGATCGGCCCATCCCCGTGGTCCAACGGTGGGGGGCTGGGCAGCGAGTGGCAATGGGATGGCCCATTTGGAAAGGCCGGAGCTGGTGGCCCTGACTGCAAGTCAGTTGCTGCTAAGGGGAAGGTGTTTGTTGGTCCCAAGGATGTTCTGCAACACTCACCGCACTTGCACTTGTGACAAATCCCGCTACACATCTTGACCGCATGCTCAACCTCCTTGGCAACTGCTGCTCCGGGGCACTTTTCGACATCAGGTACGGTGGCCAGATGTGACCAGGGTGAGCTAGAGCTGCACCCCGCCACAGAGGCAGTGTCTTCGAAGCTCAAGCGGCATCCGAGTCAACCACGGTCTGCACCGTCCTGTCTCCGCCGAGCTGCAGGGTCACGGCGTTGGTCTCCACGTTCCGCGCCGCCGCGGAATGGGAGGGCGCTGCCTGGAGCACCTCACACAAGAGGGCCCCTTGCGCCCCATGTTCAGTTCTCCGATCAACACCCCGCCATTCAGAATGAAACATTGGACATCATGAGGACAGAAACCCATGGAGGTCTTCTTTGGCATAATTGCTCTTCACCGCGGGGCAGGGTAACAGCAAGGAGACCCAAACAAACAAACAAACAAACACTTTGACGTCTATCTCACCCATACTCGCCGGGACGCATCGCCCCCTCCCAGGTTCAGCTTCCAGTGCGAGGTGTCCACGAACTCGGGGCAAATCCCCGAGGTCCAAAAGGAGATTCGGATCACCAAATCCTGGCGATTCGGAGGCCGAAAACCGATGGGCTCGGCGGCGGACGGCTTGTTCGGGGGGGGGGGTCGGTGTGGTAGGTAGGACGTTTCGGAGAGGTTCGGGATGTTTCAGTGTGTTTCGCGCATGAGAGTGGATCCTCAAAGTCACCCTACGCCCACCAGAGCTGGGTGCAATGAACTTCTGCTCCAGGACACTCTATGACTCTACAGGCCTTTCGGTCTACACCTGCCAAGCCCCAGCATCGAGCCCTAGCGGAGCTCCAAACAAACCCAACCTCAAGACCTTCTCGCTCAACGCGTGGGGAGCCGCCTCCCTTGCCCCACCGCCAACTGCCAAGGCCGCCAAGGCCTTCCGGAATTTCTCGGTGAAGTCGATCCGGCTCTTCGGATAGGCGAGGAACATGGCATAGAGCACCGCCTGCGCCACAGCATCCGCATAGCAGCGGAAGAAGAAGTCCTCCCCGCAGTTTCGCACCGGCAAAAATGCCACGCGCGCACAAGGGCAGGTACGACTGGAGGGCGGTTGGATGATAAGGCAGAGTGATATGGAAGAGAGGAACCTGTCGCCAGGCTGCCTTGTGAATCGTACGGTTCGCTGGTAGTTGTTTGGGCTGTCTTCTTTGAGCGGCCTGAGCGCCTTGAAGAGGTTCGCCCCAGAGTCTGGAGCGTAAATGGCATTTCGTTGAGACACAAAAGCGGAAGCACTCAAGTTGGAAAGGCAAACCGGGCCTTTGAGCATGAGCCCAAAACTCGCCACCTTCCACGCTGATTGCGCTACCATCCACACCCTCAAACAAACATGACACCCACCATCCTCCTCTTCCTTCCAGCCGCGAGCTCTTCACAAAAACATCAGCCACCCTGTGAGTTGATCAGCTTAGGCCTATCCCATTACCAGCAACCGTGGACGATGATCATAAGTAAAGGCCTTGTTCCAAAATAGTGATGTTCTTGTTGACTGACGGCTCTACAGGTAGAGATTGGACAGACCCAAGCTGATCAGCCTACATGCTTTGCTTCCCCCAACGTCGCCCACATCACCCAGCAGAGCTCTACCCCCCCCGCACCCAGGACAGGCGTCGGCGGCGTCGGCCGTCCTTCCGTGTGGGGTTCAGGGAGCTGAAGAGCCCGACAAAGTTCGCAGAGATGCGGTCAAAGAGCCGGGTCTCCACGTCCAGATGCTTCCCAGGCTTGAAGTACCAGCAAATGCCTGGCACTTCTCAAGACAAAGCAAAACCCTCCTTCATTGGTGCTCCTTCATTGGTGCATCTTGTCCCTCATCCTCCTTCACTTCTTCATGTCTGGAATCCGTGCTCCTCAGTGGCCCCCCTTTCACACCTGCTTCTTCCCACTACATTTCATGCTGCTGTCTGCACACCAGAACCTTTCGATCCTTGGAACACCCGTCTCATCACGCGGAAACCCCCGCCGTTTGGCCGCGTCTTGGCGTCCGAGGTGCAGAACCAAAAGGTGTCTTGGATCACAGCCCTGGAACATTGACTCTTAAAGTCCTCCACATGGGGGAGCAGTTCAAGCTGTGGAAGAGAGCTGTGGGGGGAGGAAAAAAGAAAGCAGCTGGATCACAGGTCTAGCGGCGACCTATTCCTGTAGGCCTGCCACAGTCTTCGCCGAAACATCAGAGCCGCATGCTAAGATAGGAAGATGACAACATCACAAATCCTTTCAGAGCATCTTCCAAATCATGTTGGAAGGCTGGTTGTGCCATCAAACCACACATCTCTCCACGAGTTCGGTTGGAGAAAGCCCTGTCCTTGAACCACAAGTTCCGCGCCTGCTCCGACCAGCCTTTGAAATCCAGATTTTGGGCCTCGGGCCGGGTGGTAATCATTCCAAGCACAGTTATCTCGCCAGACTAATTGCCAATAAAAGGTACCTTCTACCCACACCTCACACCTTCCACTCTTCTGGCTGCCTTTCTCATCCTTTCTCTAGACATCAGGAATTCCACGACGAGGCTGCCAAGGGGCTATGTTGCTCATAATCTTATCCATCGGAATGGATGCTGGCAGTGGAGCAGGTGAGCCTAGACCACCCCCATAACACTCGCCCGGCAGCTCGGCGAACTCCACATTGTAGACGTTCACCGTGGGCAACGAGACCTCGTGGGGAGCCCCCGTGGGCGCCCCGCGATGAACAAGGAAAAACACGTTCGGTGGACCTGCACGTTCGGTGGACCTGCACGTTGTGGAGTGGACGTCGGACTTGGCCATCTACCTACCGGGGACCTATCGGAACCGAGGGACGATAGGTCCAGTATTCAACCTGGGGCCGGGGGTAAGGGGGTCGTGACAGCTCCCTGACTCAGGGGCTTGAAAAATGTGGTCCATCTACTGCAGTTTAGGTGAACAACTCCCTCCCCTGCCAGACGTGCCCCTTGCTTCATCTTCCTCACCCTCCTTCCAGAACCCTCCCGCACAGAGGCTGCCCCCTTCCGCCGGAGCCGCCCGCGGGCGCGAGCTGGATGGTGTGGACTCCACGGGCGGCTCCTCGACCTGAGCAGCGGGCGAGGTCTGCGGCCCAGCGGCTTTTTGGTGTTCGCACACGCCACACGCAAGTCCAAGCAGCATTTACCTCAGTGATGAAGCCCACCTTGGTGCTTGTGGCACTGTCCATGGCGAACTCTGCGGTGTCGCGGCTGGTATTCAGGCCCCCAGCCGTCTAGCAGCCTAGCTTCGCTAGTCACGTTGTGTCCAGTCTTTCTTCTGCTCCACGGGGCTTCTTTTCAACTTGAGCAACTATGGCAAGTGGCTGCATGTGTCAGATTTGCTAGACCAAAGATGCCATCAGGAAAACCGCTTGATGCGAAAATGGCCGTGGCTCAACAGAATGGACAGAGAAGCAACAAATGGACACCTTGCGATGCAAGTAGCCACGAGGAGCCGCAGAAAACTGGAACTGGGCTCGGGAGCACTTGATGATATGTCTCATCATGCCCCGCGACCCCTGTCTCTCTGTCTCTCTCGATGTGTATATATATATATATAAATCTCTCTCTCTCTCTATGTGCAGTTCTCTATTTATCTATACAGTATAGCTATCGCTGTCTATCTAATCTACAACCCTTCGGCCACGCTGCCACCGCCGTCCTTGGGCTGTACCACCGTCATCTCTGCCAGCGCCTTGGCCAGGACGCCGCCCACATTCTCCTCCAAGTACTTGGCCGCTCCCGCATCCATCCCTCAGCGCTCACCGGGCTGGGCAACAACTGAGGTCATGAGCAGAGACGTGCGAGACGCGAAGTAAGTGGAGGGGGTTCATAAGTTGTGGCACTCACAATTGGAAACGCCAGCACGAAAGCGAGGCAGGCTTCCTCCAAATCACATGCAAATGTGCACACCTAGATGATCCACCAGCTCAAGAGTCTGATACCTGATGATGTTTCATATGACCTTTGTTGAGCTTGATAAAACCTTATGTGATGCTCCGGGTGCAAAGGCTTTGAGGGCGAGTAACTCCTGCCTTTCTCGAGGTTCTGATGTGGGTAGTCACCTGGTCCTTGACTCGAACGACGGGTTCCTTCAACATAAGGAAAGACGACGAAAGGTCCTCCCGTCCTCCCCATCTCATCCACCCAACAATATTCACCCAAAAAAACATCCACCTTTTATGGAGTCATGGCCTTGTGAACACCTGGAAAGCCTGCAGTCCCTGGTCCCTGCATTTCAATACGGTTGTCAGCGACGTGTTTCAGTGCGTTCGTCGTGTCGTTTGTCGCGTCGTTTGGCCGCGTAGCTGACGTCTTGTCGGCGGATGTGCACGCTTGGAAAAGGGAGCTGAGCCGAAAACCAGCTGGAAGCCAAAGGCATGAGCAACCTGCCCTTGGTTACTGGACTCTTCTTAACTTCTTCGCTACATGTCTTCCAGTAAGGTGCATGTCTCCACCTGATGCACAATCGAGGCCCCAGGACACCGTCTATGCCAATTGAACCACCCGCCGGAACTCTCCAGCTTTGGCTGATAGGGCCCTGCTAGGCTGCAATTTGAATCTTTTTCACGACCATTTTCTCCAGGTCACGCGGCTTGCGCAAGCATGTTGGAGGCATTTTGTTGAGCGACCCGCAGGGGGCGTTTGACCCTGGTGTCCATCCAGCAGCCTTCCAGAAAAGAAAACGCCAACAGGTCACAGGCCGGCCCATCCCGGCCCATTCCTTGGATGAAAGTGCGCATTCCCCGCTCAGAGTAGGGCGTTTCAGCTTGGAAAGTGCAAGCCTTCAGCCCAAGATTCGACTTCCTGTTGAAGTTCAGTCAAGGCTTCCTCAGTGAGTTCACGCTCACGAAGTAGGGCACAACGATTCCGGATGCGTCTATGAGTCACACACTGTCGACTGGCTGTGATGAAAAAACTCGAGATGTCACGGTCCAAAAGGCGCTTTGCCAAAAGGATGCATTTGGAGGCACATCTGGATCCACTGCGAGCAGCATCTGAAGATGGCCAATGCAAGCAAGCGGCTCTTTCAGGAAGGCTTGGATCCTCAAAACAAGTAAGCAAAAAGGGAATCTGCAAAAAGCTGGCAGGAAGGCAACAAATATCGCTGATTACTAGACTTATACTATACAGTATAAGCACTGGCGTAAAGCTGGCGTAGGTTTCTCGTGGCTCGACCTCCAGGTTCTCACTATGTGAGATTATGAGGTGCTTCATGCTGCGGAGGTGCATGCAAAGCTGCCAAGAACTTGGCCAGCTTCTTCCCCGACCTGCCCACGGAAGCATGGCGCACCGGCGGCAAAGAAAACCTTTTTCCGTATACAAACACTTCAGGGGCAGTAGGTATGAAGCACTCACCAAAACTCTCCGCTTGAGCTGGGCAAGTGACAGTCCTCAGTTACAGTAAATTAACAAAATTATATATACAAGCATACACCCCAAACAGCTTCAAAACGATTCCTTTAGACCAATATTAGTCAAAAATCGATTTCTTGGCACGCCCTACCTTCACCCCAAGAGCAAACTGCTACATCAATGAATTTTTGTCGGCATTGACATCGCTATTTGTTCGGCCACACTCCTCTCCAGTAAACCGGAAACCGGACCACAGAGACCAGCCACAGAGTTCAGGGGAGCAGCCAAAACAAGGACAAGAGGACAAGACCCGGACACAGAGCCGGGCCACAGAGCCCAGCCACAGAGCAAGAGGAGGACAAGAGGAGGACGAGGCCTGGACACAGAGCCCAGCCACAGAGTTCAGGGGCGCGGCCAGTGAGTGTGGCCAGCTTTATTTTTTTCTAAGATAGAACCCCAACAGTAAACTGTTTGGGGAAAAACATTGCCGTTAAGATGCCCTCAAGCAAAAGCAGTGGCAATTTCGGGTGCCTGAGACCTCATAGGTCCTAGGCCTACAGTGCCTAGGCCTACCAGTGCAACCAGGTCCATCGCTCGACGGATTTTCCAGGTCGGCTAGGCCTCTCTTGGATGCCGCGGGCGATGTCTCGTGCGCGCACCAGGTAGGTCCCGATCCTCCGGAAGCCCTCCTCGTCCACGCGGCGTGTGGTCATCGCACAGCTGCCCAGGCGCACGCCGCCTGGGGAAATCGGCGAGGAGTCGCTGGCGATGGTGTTCCGGTTCCTGAGCACGCAGACTTCAGAGACGTCGCGGAGGTTGGCCTGTCCGCTCACCCAAAGCTATGGGGAAATGCGACGGGCCATCAAATGAGCATGGGATGACAAAGCACCTTGACGACTTTGTTGTCAGTGAGGCTTAGACCGGATACTCAGTAATTGAAGGCCTGACATTATCGTGCACGGGCTTACAGGCCTGGTCCCTCTCATCCAACTTACAGTAGCACATCATGCCACATCCATCTTCATCTCAGGCACACAATGATGGACGCCTCTTCGCAGACTTTCTCCATCTTGGCGCCAGACAAGCCTTCAGCCTTGAGATCCCAAAGCAACAAGTGATTATCAGTGCCTCCCGTCACCAGCTTCGATCCATGCTTTGTGAGGCAGGACGCCAGCACCTTTGAGTTGGCGACCACACGCTCACAGTAGTCCTTGAACTCAGGACTGGCCACCTGCGACATCCAGACTAGGCTTCGAGGCCGAAGGGCCCAAGCCCTTAACCCCCTTCCAAGCCAAAAGCTCTCGAACAGGTCTTCACACCTAAGAATCAGAATGCTCGCAAGGTCTATAAGTCTGCCAGAATTTTCTCCACTTCAACCATCTTTGGGGGACCACCGGACCACCCCTGCGTAAGGCCGGTAGGGTTGAGGCGGCTGTTTGTCGCCTCGGATGTGTGCCAGCAATGACACCAAGTTTTGACTCGCCGTGCGGCTGCCAGCGCAGTTGGGGTGTACATAGTACTGGGACTAGACTGTTCAATGCCCCAATGCAAACGGCCCGAGCGGCTGAGACTGTCCTGGTCAATTGCTCAAAACCAACAACCATCAACAAGCTGACTGCCTCCATCCTGCCGGGTGCCTTCAGAGACGGCCCTCCCCACCACCGCCACCCACGCGATCCACCGCGGCAACCCCCAGTACTGTGCCGGAAACAACGCCTCGCGCAACTGGAAGGCCAAAGCGCCAATGGTCGCGTTGTGCGGCCCACCCTGCAAAGCCGGGAAGACCGCCTCGGGAGTCCGGGGACACGGCAGGAACGGAGGGGGTATGGTGAAAGGGTCAGGGGCAGTGCAAAGGCCCAGTCCGGGCGTTGAACAGGTGCATACCCTTTGAGATTGTGGCAAGTCGTTGTGGGTCAACACCTGGACACCCGCAAAACCAGGCTCCAGTCGTTGTGGGTTCTTCAGGCAACGCCACACGCAAAGCAGGCCTGCCCATGGCACGCCCCCCTACCCCAGTTTCCACGATGCGTAGGGCCGGGTGTTCACAGAAGAAAAACCGCAATCCCTGTGTATGTTTTTCCCAGGCTAGCGCAACAACATTGAAGCTCGCGGGGTGTACCGTCATTCCCACCTCTACCCGCCGCAAGGACGCCCCAAACGCCGCCCCCCCGCCCCGCGCCGCCAGAAGACGTCGACCGGGCGCACCGGTTGCCCGTCAGGCCGCGTTGTCGATCTTCTGTTCCAACTCTTTTCGGCAGAAGATCATCCCACCACGCGGCCCACGCAGGGTCTTGTGTGTCGTGGTGGTCACCACATCCGCATAGCGAAAGGGAGATGGATGTTGCTCGGTGGCCACTAGACCACCTAGAGATACTCAAAGTTCGAGTGCGAAGAATCTTGAAACTGCATCAATGGTATGCATGCCACGCTTCTTGGAAGGGCTTGCGCGGTATGAGAAAACAAGGGTAGAATATGCGCTCCAACACTCAAAAAAAGAACTCTCATGTGTCAAAATGATTCATGACCCTTTCTTCACAACTGCCAACTTCAACTGTATGGATTCGGAACTCGGAAGCTGACGCTGACTTTCTCTGACCAAGTCTGGTGGATCCAAGCCACTGATGTGCGCCATGTCCACCAGCAGGTATGCCCCGACTTCATCGCAGGCCGCTCGAAACTGGGCCCAATCAATGTGCCTCGGGTAGGCCGAGGCGCCCGCGATGATCAAGCGCGGTCGGAAGACCTTGGCCGTTTCGCGGAGGGCCTCGTAGTCGATGAGGCCCGTCTTGGGATCCACGCCATAGGGCAAGGATTCGAAGTAAATGGATGTGGCAGATACCTTCCGCGTGGTGGTGTAGTGTCCATGAGTCAAATGGCCACCGGCCATGAGGCTCATCCCCATGATGCGATCATGGGGCTCCAAGAGCGCGGTGTACACGGCGAAGTTGGCCGGAGAACCGGAGTAGGGTTGAACATTCACAGACCACAACTCAGGTGACAGGTTAAATGCCTTCAGCGCTCTATCTTTACATAGTTTTTCCAAGTCATCAATCACAAAGTTCCCGCCATAGTAGCGAGCACCCGGCAAGCCTTCAGAGTACTTGTTGTTCAGGACAGACCCGAGAATTTCAAAGACAAAGGGAGAAGCGTAATTTTCGGATGCAATCAAATTGACGCTCCTACTTTGCCTCATCCTTTCCTTGTTAATCAAGGACCCGATCTCCGGATCAACATGTTCCAAGTCTGGAATGCCATGGCCAACCTCACTCACCGTGGCCCGAAGATTTGCCACTCGCCGTCTTCGGCATTGGCTCAGCCACCCGCCCCCGACAGCCAAAAAGAAGGGTCTTTGCACATGCTGCCTCTCACCTTTGGCACACTGAACATGTGGGCCTTGGAATGCATCAAAGAGGAAAAGTGTCCAACTTTTAAAGCCCAACATCATGATGACCTAGTTATCACAAGTCAAGTTACTGTGATATGGAAAGTTTCATGTGTTCTTTTTGGATCATTGCGAAATGGTCAATGTTTTTTCAACCCTGATTCAACCCTCACACTAATAAAGAAGTGACACGAGCATCTGACATGGAATTCCTAAACCATTCCCTGAATCACCAAGTCGCTGCAGTGGGTGGACCCTCCAGGTCCTATTTGCACGCTCGGCGTCACACGGAGCGGGCTGAGCATCAATCCCACAGAAAATTCCATCAGCAGGGCCGCCCCCGCAGATGTAGCAGTTCGACCGCACAGTTTTTTTGGAATCACACATTCTGGCAACTCAAACAAAAATTCTCTCAGATCCTGGCGTGCCAACAATAGGAACCAAAACACATGTGCAAACTCCCGCATACATACACCGGAGCACCCGCCCGTTCAAGGAACACTTTGAACAAGCGACCCCAAAGAAATCCACAAAGAGATGATGAAAAAAACATAAATGAAATGGCATTGATTGTTCTTGCAATGTTTATGATCAATATGTCTTTCCGCTGCGGGTCGGCGCGCACACGCTGCATAAACGCACTGACACAAAATGACTTTGAATTGTGTAGTTCAAACTGTTGGGGCTAGCACCACAACTCATAGGTCAGTGGGGCACACTAGAGCAGTAACTAAGCGACTAACATCCAGAACTTCGCAGAAAAAGAACTCACAACATCAACTGCCCCCAAATACAGGAAACACTCTGGGCCCATAGCAAGTGAACACGCCTGGCCATTTTTGCAGGAAACAGTCGGCAAAGCAAACCAAAACGATCCATGCGGGCAAAATCAAATATGACTCTCAAAGCCAACCTCACAAATGGCGTGATTCCTGACAACATATTCAACAGCAAACCCGCCTTTTCCACCAGTTGAAGTGCCTGGATGAGGCAAGGCCGCCTTACGGATATGAGCAACAAGGCTGCGCGCAAACTTTCATGAACGCGGTTTCGGACTCCTCAGAGGGGGGGCCTGGCCTGTGTAGCCCCAAACATGCCAGCCGGCACATACATGGTCTGAAATTGAGTGCACTGTCTTTCTTGCACGTGCACTTTTTCCAGTGCATTTGCTTGATCATGTGCATGGTGGTGGCGATATTTGTGGTGCGACTTGATCCAAACCTGACACTACAGCAGTTTGATTCGCGTAGTTGGTGCTGGAACAATCTCCAGCATCGGCGGCCTGCGAAAAGAATTGCGTCTAAAAACAACCGTCGCCGCGATAACCAAAAATTGTCCCCCCAGCTCGCTTAGTTTTATCGCCCCACACTGGCATCTATGTACGGCCACGGTTCCTCGCAGCAAGCCACCAATTCCAAAACAACATCTAACATCAGCCGCAAAATTCAGACAACGCAGCTTTGCACCCCTTCAAGTCCACACTCCTATACCAAAAAAGAAATCAACCTGTAGGATGGTCACACAGGGATCTTTTTCCCAACCTTTTTCCGTGCTGAAGGTCAAGGCGAAACAATGTTGATTAGTTTTCCGAGAAAAAAACAAGAGCGTTGGCACGAGGCCAAATCCAAGCCACGCCCCCGAGGAGGCAAGTCGGCAGAACGGAGGGCCTGGCACACCTCCGTCCTGCTCAAGGAGGTCGCAGGGAAATGGTGGATTGCCGTCGATGTTAGGCCGGCCAGCAGGGTCCTGGAGGGAGGCTGCCTGCGAAGGGCTGAAAGGCTGCATGGGCGAGGAGGGCAGACCATTGGGACACCAGAGCGGCACAAACAGAGGAGCGGAGGTGACCGGGAACGGCCCTATCTCTTGTTTGCTTGCTTGCGCGAGGAGGCGGAGGAAGGTTGCGGTTGCGGTTACGGCACTAAAACGCCTCCCCGACTTCGATGGCCAGGACTACGAGGCGGCACCGCCCGGAGTCAAGAAGTTCTGGATAGGTGCGTTCTTTGCGGCGCTTTGCGTCGGCCACGACGGCCCCGGCCTCCTCGCCGCACTGGTGGCCGTGGAGACCAGGGCACTGTCGATCGCCAACTGGGCACCAGTGTGGAGTGGAAGGCGGTTGGCGATCACTCGATCCGGCGGCTGTCTGTTCTTGTCAGGCTGGGGATGTTGAGGTCGAAGAGAAGTGTGTGAGTGGTGACCCGTGACCCGTCTCGAAGCATCCCTGACCGTGGACACACTGCTTGGTGGTCGCCTAGTGCGTCGACGCCGACACGTGCGTTTGGAGAAGGGGAATGGGAGGCGAAGCCGCCGGAGGATGGGATGGTGGTGAAAGCTCGGCTGGCGAAGGGGGCCTGACTGAGAGGCTAATAGTGTTCATCTCATGCTTTCGGGTCGTGGCATCAATCCACCCCAAGGTAGTCATTGTTCACGATGAGGCGCCGCCCTGAACCTGGAGCACAAAGCGCAAAAAAGGCATCCACTGCCGTACCTGTCCAGCAAAAATGTTGTCTCATCTGTTGCGAAAGATTCCAAGTATCGGACCTCATCACACCTCAAGGGTCTCGCCTGTCGCCTCTTAGGCCGGCGGTTGCCCAAGGCTCTCAAAAACCCTTGCACGACAGGCAGCGACTCATACCTGGCATTGTCTTTTAGATGGAGAACATAGCACATCTGACAGCATTCAGAGGCACTCCAATCAATGGGCCCCTAAAGTTCACATATGGTTGCATGGAGCACTGGTGACATGTATGCGGCCCAATCGCAGACGTGAAAACAGAGCGGAGCCTCTGTTGGCAGCCCCGGCAGGTTCCTTTTTGGGGTATCAATCCACCTGGATTTTTTACGGTCCGTGGAAGTCCCACACAGGCTGCTATAAAGGACCCCGCACAAGGCTGGTTTGACTGGCACTGGCATGGAGGACTTTCACTGGGAGTGCTGGAGTTCAGGGCTTGGTGCACGCCCTTCACGGCCTGATCGAGGTTCAGCGTAGCAGTGGATTCACATAGCACTTGAAGCCCCCGACAACGTTCCAACCAAAGAACAAAGCTGAGGAGTTATCCAAGTGGATGGACTGGAGATTTGAGTTTGAAACCTTTGTAAGTGCCGTACATGAGGACTGCAAAGAAACTGGACTCGACAGTTGATGACAGTGAAGGCCATGTCCGTCCACAATCCGAGAAGCTCGACTCTACTCGTTGCTCACAGGTTTGATGAAGCAGCGCCGACTTGTGTGGGGAGTGGCCAGTCAGAATGGGTTGGAGGCCTGGAGGACTTTGACACGGGACCTTGAACCGTATTCAATTTGATGTGAACAAGACGGTGACAGAACAACTTCCCCAGTATGAGCTGATGGTTCGAGAGTATGAGCGCAGTGCCAATGTCACCTACCATGATGACCTGAAGATAGCAGCCGTTAGCCGTTGTGGCAGCTTTACCACCGAATTTGATGCTGCACATCCAGATGGTACAACTTTTGAAATTCTTCGTCAACGTGTGGAACTCTATGAGCAGGTGAGTCAGAGGTGGACAGCAGATGGGACAACACAGCAGTTGGGAGTCAAGTCAATTGCAGATGACCAGGTGGTGAACATGGAGGTCGATGCAGTGTGGGCCAAAGACGGAGGAAAGAAAGGCAAGAAAGGTGGCAAGAAAGGTTCAGACAAAGGAAAAACAGGCAAATGCAAGGGCTCTTGGTCCAAAGAAGGGTGGAAAGAATGGCAAGTCAGGCAGCAAATCAACAGGAAAGAAAGGGAAAGGCAATGGGCATGACGTGCCACAATTGTGGGAAAACTGGACATTTCGCCAGGGAGTGTTGGCCTCCCAAACGAGTTCAGCAGGTGGCAATAAAAGATGGAGGTGATGTCAAGAAGACTTCATCGACTACCTCAACACAGAGCAACAGCCAATCAAGTGGGGTGTCAATTGGGACATCAGCCCACACCACCACCAAGGTAGGTGTGTGCGCTTGGTCACGCCCACTGGGTTGGCCACCATGGAGATCTTTGATCTGACAGAGGGTGACAGTGATGAAGCCTGGCCAGTTTTGGCCATTCAGGTCGTTGGTGAACAGCCTGGAGAGCCACCAAAATTGAGGAGTTCTTTGACTGTCTTGAGGAGCCTTCTGATGAGACATCCTTGGAACACCACGAAGGAGCACACAGTGGATTCAGTGCCCTTTGGAGGCACTCCCCCCCCCGGGGAGGGTTCATCTTCCTTCTCCCATTTTTTCCAACCGTTCTCAACCAGGTTGTTCCAAAAGTTGGCCCCTCAGCCGTCACGGAACACACGCGATAAAACCAGCCTGGAAACAAAACGTGCCCTGATTTTCTTTTTCCGTTTGTCACTCACGGCGCGGGAGAACCAACCAGCCTTGAAACCTTCCACCACCTCCTGCTGGCATAGTTTGTAGGGATGGTAGCATTGTGCATGCTGTTCATGTGACTAGTCACATCATTTGCTCACTGTAAACAAACAGTCACTGCTCGTCCCAAGGACGTTTCCAGCGGTTCCGCTCCAAACCACCTGCTGCAAAGCAGCGGCGGTCTCGTCACATCGCCGAAAGCCTCGCCGCCATTGCAAAATTGCGCCCTCTCTCCAGGAAACGTTGCGAAAATAGTCAGGCCCTCTGTGGCGGAACCTTTTGACATGCCTTTCCCTGAGCCGTACCCCATGGCACCCAGTGGCAGCAGTGTGGTTCCGCAAATGGACATCTTAGAGATCACATGGGTGCGGCACCGAAGCGTGCAGCTCCCGAAGGCACACCAGACCGTGAAGCAGAGGCACGCACAAAGCAACAACTCACTGAAGTGGCACCCCGTGCCTTGGATCAATCGCTCGGGAAGGGTGCAGCCAGTCATGGGTCGAAAGGAATCGAAACCAACAAGGTTGAAATGAATTCCGCAACAATCCAAGCCCTGAGGATGATGATGCGCGAGGAAATTAGCAATGGAATGGCTGAGATTGAGGGACGGTCACCATGGACACTTTGAAGGCGGAACTTCGTGCTGAAGCCGCCGCCCGTGAGCAATTGGAAGCACGCCTTGCCACTTTGGAGCAGCAGTACGCAA